GCTGTGACTTAGATGTTTACACAGTCCAGTGGGTGGCAAATTGGCTTGGGGGTTGCACCCAGAAAGTGGTGGTGGATGGTATCAACCTGGTATCGACCTGGAAGGATGTGAGCAGTGGGGTCCTGCAGGGCTCGGTCCTTGGACATATACTCTTCAATGTCTTCATCGGTGACTTGGGTGTGGGAGTGAGGTATACTTTATCCAAGTTTGTGGATAATACTAAATTGTGGGGCAAAGTGAACACACCAGAGGGTAGGGAATGACTGCAGGTGGACCCAGACAGGTTGAAAGAGTGTGCTGAACACAATAGGATGGAATTCAACAAGGACAAATGCAGAGTGGTGCACCTAGGGCGTAAAAATATCCAGCACACTTACTGGCTGGGAAGTGACCCTCTCGGCAGAACAGAAGTGGAAAGGGATCTCAGAGTCATAGCAGACTCCAAGATGAACATGCATCGTCAGTGTGACAAAATCATCAGCAAAGCTAACCACGCTTTATCATGCATTAGCAAATGCATGACGAATAGATCCAAGGAGGGGATACTTCCCCTCTATACAACATTGGTCAGACCACAGGTGGAGTACTGCGTCCAGTTTTGGGTGCCGTACTTTAAGAAGGATGTGGATAACCTAAAGAAGGTGCAGAGAAGGGCCACTTGTATAGTTAAGGGTTTGCAGGCCAAGCCCTATGAGGACAGACTAGGGGACCTGGATCTCTTCAGCCTCTGAAAAAGAAGGCAGAGAGATGATCTTGTGGCCACCTACAAATTCTTTAGCGAGGGCAGCAAGGAACTGGAGTTGCTCTGTTCACCAGGGTGCCTCCTGGGGTAACAAGGAACAACGGTCACAAACTGACAGAGAGCAGATTTAGGCTGGACATCAGGAAAAACTTCTTTATGGTAAGTGTTGCCAGAATCTGGAATGGGCTACCAAGGGAGGTGGTACTCTCCCCTACCTTGTGGGTCTTTAAGAGAAGACTGGATAGACATCTGGCTGGGGTCATCTGACCCCAGCACTCTTTCCTGCCCAGGGCAGGGGGGCAGACTTGATTATCTGATGAGGTCCCTTCCGACCCAAGCATCTATGAATCTATATCAGAGGGAATAAGACCCCTCATTTATACCTCTCTGCAGACCACCTGAACCTTTGGGCTAGGGACAGACACTCTAACGTGCAGAGACTGAACCAATTTGTAAGTGGATAGACATTCACTTTTAATTCAGGAAATGCAGGCATATGCCTGCAGTGGCTCAGGCTAGAAGCTGGGGGGCATTACAGCGAGCCATCCCTTCACTTCCACAGTCCTGAGCTGAGAGAGGGCATGGCCAGGCCCCGGAAGGATGCTATGTTTAGGGAGGGGTTTAAACTACCACCCTGGCCTGACGGTCCCCAGCTGGGATGTGCCTGGAGGCAGAGGAGAAGGCAGCCTTTGCCAGGCTTTCCCCCCTGCTCACTGCTCAAGGGGTGGGAGTGTTGCCAGCCCCCAGGCCCCAGCCCCTGGTTACCACTCTGAGGCAAAGGGGGCGGGGGTGAATGCCTGCAGAAGCCAGTGGTAGTTTTGGTGGCAGTTAATCTCAGTGGGGGCATGTGCCCCTCTCCCTGTGTCCCGCCCCCATGCGTCACCTATGATGGATGCCTCTCAGCATTAGCTAGCATGGGGGTGGTGTGACCATGACCAGATGCTGCCTGGGGTCTGTGGCACTAGGGTCCATGATGTGGGAGAAGGGAGGCCGTGAGCAGATGCTGCTGTGCCTGCAGCCTTCACCTTGTTCTCAGCCAGCCAAAACTCCAGCTAGGGAGGAGAGGGGCAGGACCAGCCCTGCTCTCTGGAGCAGACAACTCAGCTCAGCCCAGCTCAGGGTTGAAAAGCATGCTGGAGGACTCTGATTTAACTTTAACCAGGAAGGGGTCTGGGACTCAAGTTCCATAAACTGGTTTGACCCAAATCAGTTGAGTCTGATATTACATTCAACCAGGTTTATCTTAAACCAGTTTTGGCCATTTTAAAACTGGCTTATGTCCACTGAACTTAGGTTCTGTTACAGGTTTAAACCAGTTTCTGATCATTTAAACCAGTGTATGTGTAACTTCTGTCCCTAGCCTTGATCTATCAAGTGCTTCCTGCTCCCATTCTTCTCTGAACAGGTGAACTAAGGAAGGGCAGATTTTCCCTCTAGTCACAACCCTAATGCTGGTCAGGATAATTGAGCCAGTGATGGGGATTTTCAACCAGATATTAGCTTCAGATGGAGCTCTATATTGTTTAAAAGCGCTGGCTTCAGTTTCAAAGCCCGTTGTAACCACATCTTGATTTGCAGACAATGGAAGTTCAGCACCAAAAACAGGTTGAAGTCTTGTCTTTGCACAGGTTTCAGTTTCCATGAGAGTTGCCTTCTAGGCAGAACTGTTTCATGACGCTGGCCATGTGATAATAAAGGTGGCCTTTGCCTACTAGCATCAGGCTATTAAATAATTAACTTGAAGCCATAGGCACTACTGTGAAAAAATGTGGAAAAATGTTTTGGTCATTAATTTGTGACAAATGAATTTATGATTATTGTGTCCCACCGTAAAATGTAATGTAACTTGAGATTTAAAAAATGTGGAAAATATGAAAATGTAGAAATCTACCTGATCTCTTAAGGCTCCAAATAAGTTACCTTCATTTCCATTGTAATTAATTAGCCAATCAGTTTTTCCTTTTTTCAGAAGTCAAATGCCAAATCCAAAGACTCTTGTCAAATGGAATCACTGGCCAAAGTTTCAGAAAACAACAGCAAGTTCTACATAAGGGTTTCTTAGGATTTTAATAAGAGCTTATTCTCTTTGTTTGAGTGTTTAAATGCAAAATTAGAATTCCAGTTTAGGTGCCTACATTTCAACCTTAGGCTCCTTGCTCAGGTCATGTTAAAATAATCTGTACACAGACACCTCTTTGTAAGGCTGACAGTGCTCCTTTAAGCCTCCAGATGGTGCTGTTTACTCAGACATTGAGATTTAGAAACTGGACAATGTTATCCATCCTCAGACAGTCATTTTCAGTGTCAGGCTTTTAGTTTTTTTAATTATTTTCAGTTTCTACAGATGTGTTCTTTTGAATGGATTCAATAAAATTTTATAGCCTTCATTTGAAAAATAGTAGGATTATTGTGATTTGTGCTTTCTAGCAGAAAATATTTCTCCATGACAGGGACATAGCCAGGGTTAGAGCTCGCTGTTCTCTGCTCATGCCTCTCCTTGATGCCCACCAAGGAGTTAGATCTCACTGTTCTTTGCTTATGCCTCTCTTTGGTGCCCACTGTATGTACATTTACTTTTAGCAGGGATTTTAATTTGCATAACAAAACTGTTGTTTGAATACTTATTTTATTTAAGAAAGGCTTCTGGCTCATGGTAACTTTGCATACTCTTATATATAATATTCAGGCCCCAAACCACTCTTCCAACAGCCTCCTACTCCATACCACAGATTTTTCAGGTCATATACATGTTCAGGGTTCTTTCTCCTTGTGTGGCAAATACAGGCCTTATTAGATGTGGCACATTTCACAGCAAATAGAAAATGTATTCAACATCTAAAATGCTGGTAGTGGAGGGTTTTGAAATATAAATATGAAATAACAAATATCGAAAATACAGATATTTTATGGGACAGGCATATTCACCATTGACAGTTGCCTTTGGTATTAGAGATCATCAGCATCCTATTTTTGAAATCCTGAAATATTCAACATTCTCTTAAAATATATAGTAACTACTTTAGGCAGGTGTAACAGTTCTACACTAGTAAAACACATGAAAACTTTGTTTATTCACTATTTTATGTTTATGAAATCAGCTTGTCTCTCAAGGACAATATTACTATTGTTCTTCAAAAAGCAACCAGTTATGTGAATAGCTGTAAGACAGTACCCTTGGAGGTTCTGTGGTTAGAGACATAACAATGGCCTAATTCTCACCAGCACCACTTCCATTCTCTCAACAAAAAAACAAAACAAAACACTTCAAAAGGGCTTAAGTGTCTTAGACTTCTAAGTCCCATTTCAATAAGATTTAGTCTGCTAAGTTCTTGGGCCCCATTTGTGGATGGGACTGTAATTCCTCAGATACTTGGGCACCTTTTGAAACTATTAACCTAAATTTATTTTTAACTGCAAGTTGAGCTAGTAACTAACTACCTGATGTCCATAAATATGAAGATCATGACATATCAAGCCTGAGTGATTATCATGTCTGAACATTAATGTAATTCATGGTTGATAATCTATCATGCAGAAAAAAATGCCAAAAATATTTCTGGTTTTGCTTTTGTTCTGTGCAAAAAACAAGAGCAGTCATGTGAAATCTTCCAGGAAAAATTATTTAAAAAATGTTCGGGGGGGGGGGGGGAAAAATAGTGACTTTCAACCATTCTTATGCCAAACCATCTGTACTGGTTGACCAGCAGTACTTATTAAGTGCTTACATTTGGCCTTACCTATTGCTTAGTTTGTTTTTGCCAAGTCTCTCCCACCTGTGTACTCTGACAAGAATCAAGTGGCTTAAGTACTTCCAGCTATTCCTTCTCCCTACTGAACCATTGTATCTCAAGGCAACTTTGTTCAACACTGTCCTCTACCCAGAAATGGCTGTAAAAGGGATGCAGCTGCCATACTTGGCTTCTGAAGAGAGAGCTTGCAGCCCATCTTTTCTCCCCACACCCAGCTAGTACCCTGTTCCATAAAAAAAAAACAACAGGGTCTCACCACAACATCATGATCAATCTATCTCAAGAGTGCATCATCAGCTATCCCCAGACACTCTGAACATAGTCCTGAACCAGAATTCTTAGAAAGACACCAACCCATTTTTATCATTCTTTGCCTGGTTATTGAGGACAAGATTTCACTGTGCGATGCAATCCTGGTTTTTAAAAAAAATAGAATATTCATTTTCCATATTGTCATTTTCCTAACAAATATGTTTTTTCTTTTTCTTTCTTTGTTCTTATCTGGTAAGGGGTTTGTAAGCAAGCTGGATGAATTCATTCACTGGTTAAATGAAGCCATGGAAACGACAGAGAATTGGACTCCTCCTAAAGCAGAGACAGACAGCCTCAAACTATACCTGGAGACACACTTGGTAGGACAAGATTATATTGCGATTGCTATCAGTAATTGAAGTGTTCTGCTATGCTTTCTTTTAGTAGGTTTTTTTTTTTCTAATTACTGGTATGCACCTATATTTTAATGCAATATTTATAGCATGGCAAATTGTTGTAGTCAAGATTCCAACAAATTTATCTTCTCTGTAAAAAAAAGAAAATTCCTTGTATTTATGGCATATGTGAACCAAAAGCTCCCTTTGAAAATGAAATTAGAAAACTGAATTGCATTGCAATTCAGAAATTATCTTCAAAAAATGAAAGAAAATGGAAACAATGAAAGGTAAAGAAAAATGGTGTTTCTGCTAGCAATTCTAGGATTCTTGCTAGGATTCTTGTAATATTAATGAAGCTCTCATTATCAAGCAAATCTTTTTCTACCTTCCATATTTTTAACCATGGCACAGATTCATTTAAATAAAATATTTTAAAAGATTATTTCAATCATTTTAGCTGATGTGCATTTCTATCATGTAATTAATACAACTGTCAGTATCCTTGTTCTTGTGCAAAAACCAAAACATTGGGTGGAAGTGGAAAACACTTGGATGAATAAGCTTTTGAATATATTACTGGCAAGAATTACAGATTGATAAACCTCATGAGGTTTTACTGAACATTTCTAACAGCTGATACTGGTTATAAGGAGGTAAAACAAACTACTATAGTTGAATTGTAATAAAACATGAAAAGCAACTATATTGTCAGATTAAATGAGATTTTTAGATGTTGAAAATTCCACACTTAGATTTTTTTCTTAATTCTAGAAAACACATAGGGCAGCATTCTTCCTGTCTGTGGAGAATGAGATTTTGTTCCTGATTGAGATTTTTGGTGCTAAACTAATGCAGACAATAAAATAAATGTTCCTTAAAGAAAAGCGCAGTGTCTAGAAAGGCCATCACACCTCAATAGATAAAATACTAAAGTGTGTGTGTGTGTGTGTGTGTGCGCGTGTGTGTGTGTGTTACAAAATGAATTTTTCAAATATTTTTTGGAAACTCCAATAACTGTTTCCGTATCCGCAGTCAGGTAATGCTATTGCTTAGGTTACTAGGAGCAATCAATTTATTGGTGCTTTTTAGGATGCGCAGTTGGGTAATGTAGAATAGGAGGGGAGAAGAGATGAGGGGGGTGAAAATCAGTTTCCCCCTTCGACAACATTGGAAATCTGTAATTTTCTAATGCCCTGATAAGATCAGATAAGATTTTTAATGCCCGGATAGGATCAGATAAGATCAAATAAGATAAACTGTATTTTTTGTTATGGTAATAGTTTCATAGATTTTTCATAAAAATTAGGCATAGAAAAAGGACAATTAAACCATCTAGTCTGATGTATACATATCACAGATGATTAAATTAAACCCACTCACCCTACATTTTTCCCAAAGACCAGAGTTAGGTCCAATTCAGTTACTAATCATTTTATTTTTTTAAAACTAGAAAAAATCTGTGTCTACTAACTGGAGTTATCTCAAGATGCATACAGCATGTAAGATGATCCTGAAAAATGCTTATCTTGCAAAATGGAGAGGTTCAAAATTTTAACGTAAAATACTAGAGTATTTCAGTTTCTGAACACATGGATAGCAACAATACTGTCCAGTAGGGTTGTGCAAAGCTTCAGTTGCTAATTCAGTTCAGAGGAGATTTGGCCCAGTTCGGCGGTTGAATCTCTAAATCCAAATAGAATCGGGAGACCAATAAAAAGATCCAAATCAATCTGAAGCCTCCGAATCAATTTGGGAAAGATTTGAAGGAGATTTGGAGATTCAGGCAGTCCACGCTCGCTGCCACAGGGAACTGGACACAGACTCCATGCCAGTAAGTAGGAGGCGGGGGGGGG